ATATGGTCTTCAAAGATTACTTTTCAATACACTGCAATTTCTTCCTTTATTTGCATATTAAAAACTCTAAGAACATTACAGTAATTTCTTATTCATAATCTCTTTATGTGTTACATGTAGAAGTACATGTATATGGGCAGTTGCTAATCACAACTGCTACACCATGTACATGTACAGTATGGACTATTACACAGAGAGAGGAGAGAGATGGGGAGAGAGAGGAGAGAGGGGGAGAGAGAGAGAGAGAGAGGGGGGGGGGGGACCTGTCTTCTCTAAACATTGAAATGCTAAATGTCATGCTACTCATGAGCATTACAAACGACACAGGTTACATATTACTACAGGGGGATCAATCTGAATTAGTATACATTTACAAGTGTACTCTACGGGCTTTAAATGAATAGAAACATGAGAATCACCATATTAATCAGTGAGAATGGTAGTGAAGAAATAGACTCTTTATGATACAAAAACCAAAATGATATGCAAAATGTATGTACATGTAAGTAATAAAAGAAGACAATTGGAAAAGTTAGAGCTAGTATAGTTTGTGTTTAGTCATAATAATTTTAAATTAAACGGTTTCTTACGGCAGTGCATGACTAACTAGATGGAATTTTGACTGCGCGCAGTCGAAAATGATGCCTCCGCCATAGAGCAATTTAAACAAGTTTGGAGTTTAAATCTCCAGTGGTTCTTGAGATATCATGATAACAATCTCAATGTATGGAATTTCATAAGTTGACCTCTGTGACCCTTGACCTTTGACCTACGTGCTCCAAAATCTAATCAGATTGTCTTCCTATGGTGATACACACTATCATTAAGTTTGAAGTTTAAATCTCCAGTGGTTCTTGAGATATTATGATAACAATCTCAATGTATGGAATTTCATAAGTTGACCTCTGTGACCCTTGACCTTTGACCTACGTGCTCCAAAATCTAATCAGATCGTCTTCCTATGGTGATACATACTATCCTTAAGTTTGAAGTTTTTACATCTCCAGTGGTTCTTGAGATATCATGATAACAATCTCAATGTATGGAATTTCCTAAGTTGACCTCTATGACCCTTGACCTTTGACCTACGTGCTCCAAAATCTAATCAGATTGTTTTCCTATAGTGATACACACTATCACTAAGTTTGAAGTTTAAATCTCCAGTGGTTCTTGAGATATCATGATAACAATCTCAATGTATGGAATTTCATAAGTTGACCTCTGTGACCCTTGACCTTTGACATACGTGCTCCAAAATCTAATCAGATCGTCTTCCTATGGTGATACATACTATCCTTAAGTTTGAAGTTTAAATCTCAAATGGTTCTTGAGATATCGCGCTAACAAACTCAATACAAGGAATTTCATAAGTTGACCTCTGTGACCTGTGACCTTTGACCTACGTACTCCAAAATCTAATCAGATCGTCTTCCTATGGTGATAAATACTATTCCCGAGTCTTAAGTTTAAATCTTAAATGGTTCTTGAGATATTGTGATAACGGTCAAACGGGACGGACGTACGGACGTACGGACGGACGTACGGACGTACGGACGTACGGACGGACAACCCGAAAACATGATGCCTCCGGCACCACCTTCGGTGGCGGAGGCATAATAAAAAAGAACAGAATGGTACATGTATAAGAACATTTTGTGTGTTGAACACAGTCAGAGGGGAGCTAACTCTGTATTAAACTCAAGAGCTACTGCCCTTCTGGCACCAGACAATTTCCAAAAGACAAGCACAACTTAATCTTTTAATACGTCTCTTTATAGCAAGAAGATTACTCTGTGTTAAGTAACACCCTTCTGACTCCAAACAGTTAAAAATGAAGAAACCGTACCAAGAAAAATGTCAAACATTTAAGAGCCCAGCATGACAGACAGACAGACAGACAGATATATCTCATCACATGGAGTGTTTATCCTTGCTGCAAATATTTACTCATGTTTAATCCCATCAACTGAAAGGAAATTCCCAAGGCTAAAAGAGAAAGAGGAAACCATTTAGATGATGATGACTCCAAGTATTTACGGTCCATCCAAACAGATTCTAAACTTGCAAAAACACCACTGTCAAACAATCAATTGTCATTTAAGTTAAAATATTCAAGTTCACTTGAAAAGGATTTTAGAAAGTGATTAATGAATTGGGGAGATACAGACAATAATATAAATAACTGTGCAGATAGAACCTCTGATAATTACTGTATCAGTCACTTAAATGAAAGTTTTAAAGATAGATCTTAATTTGTTTTGGAGTCTATGAATGGTCAAATGAATGTCACTAAATTGTGCAGGAACAAGCATTTTCATTGATAGAATGAGAGTTTGTTTCAGCATTAATATTTATAATACACTTATATTCATCAAGAAATAATCATTCAAGGTGGTGAAACTTAATCTCTAATAGGGTTTTTGTAATCATGAAACATTTATAATCTATTTCAATGAAGAAAGTCAAATAATGTTGAAAACCCAAATACCACAAACTCCCAGAGATACTGCAGATATTTTCTTTTGTTCTGCAAATTATTTTTTCATTTCCTCCATGATCATATCAATTTTACTTCAATGTTTTTTACAAAAAGTAAAATCAGGAGCATCATGATGCTTGATTTACTAATTTCTGAATGGAACAAGTACTATTGTGAACTATGGATGCAAGTATTTCACTTATTTTAATTCTTTCTTCACCCAAGCCAGCAAAAAATCGGAATGAGAGGAATGAAGAAAACAGGGCTATTTTTTGGTGGCTGATTTCCTCTTACGTGATTTTTCCTGCACAGCTTTCAGGTGTGGGTTTGAATGACGAGGCTTTACATGTCTACTATGCTGTCATGGGCATACTCCCGTGGATCGTGTCACGTTGCCCGATCGATAATATGCCTTTATAATTGGTCACCTAGAAATATGATCAAGGAGCTCCCACGCACTTCTTATTCGATCCTGTTTGATGGTGGTGTGGTGGAGGGGTGCTTATTAAGGACTCTTTGATGGGTAGGTACGGGTTCAAGATGCTACCACCTAAGGTTAAGGGTCAAGCTACCTCTTATCTGTTCTAATGCAATTTAAACTTGAAACATAGTAATAAAGTTACTCCTGAGTATCTTTCACCTTCAAGATTTTCAGGGAGAAAGTGAAGAAATTTTTGAGGAATATAAATCAAATTTGATGTATCACTGCAATTCAAATTTAAAGCAATGTAAATAAACAAGATATTTCTAGGCATCTTGAATCATCAACGTTTTCAGAGAAGATATGTATCTGTATAGGTGCAAGAGGGGGAAATTAAACGGCTTTTAACATTATGTATGTGACTTACCATATCACTTAAAATATCTTTTACAGAGTTTTACCCAACATAGATGCTTGTGCACTCCCATGACTTCAACACACAGAACCAAGCACTTATAGACATCTTACTATCTAATTTCTAATATAGAATTGCTTGGGAATTATGCATTCACCTTCCTTGAACAGACGTACATGTATGTACTCTATCACATTTTAAATTCTATTCTGCAAATCCTGTCTATAAAAGATGTGATTACACATCAGCAGATAGCATAGTGCATTGTTGTATAAACAATGAGTGTATAAATCATGAAAACAACTCAGCAGTTAATATCAATATCTCATCCAATTATCAATTCAATATTTCTACCAAACAATCACACCATCAGTCATTCCATCCACTTTGCAATGAATCCATATCATTCAATTCATCCACCAATCCATTCATCAAAAAAATCAAATTGTTAATTGAAAACATGTATGTATTCATTCAACAGACCATCAATACCAAGATCCTCCAACTGCCAATCACTCACTCACTCAATCATTCAATGTATAGATCGATTGACATGACAATCTACTCTACAATGTCTGTCCAATCACCTTGAAGAAGGCATCAAGGTCATTTATTAACCTATCACTGTGGCTTGAGGACTCCACCTTATGACCCCACTACAACTGCAATTCAAAAGGAATTGCGATCAGATGAGACTTGTAATATAAAAATTTGTATGGTATTTCAAGCATTTCTGTTTTTTAAAGCTCAATGTGCTAGAGATAGGTAGACATTCGTATGACGGGAAGGACGGCATTGCTATTCCAAGCAGATCAGGACTTTTTTTTCAGACTGAAGGGCTCATTACTATTTTGACATAACGGTCAGGACCAACAATAGCACATTACCAAAGACTTTCATGACATCAACTCAAGGGCAATTTCAATATACTATTTTATTATGTTAGGATATCTCATTGTGATGTTTGAACATTTCAATAAGTAGCTGTGATGCACAGGGCTATGAAAATTGCCTCAGGTTGACTTTTGAATGTCTTTGCAATTGTGTTGAAAAGATATTTTGATATTCCAGATCTAATCTCACAATTCTTTATATATCTATCTAGTCACAGTAATGTCATAAGGTGAACAGCCGAATAGTTGTGGGTTCTCATTTAACACCATTCCAATGTTTACCCGATAACAGGTGCTGTCAGTCACTCAGAATGGACTTTACATTTGTGACTGTCAGGTCTAAGGCTGTGCACAACCGTGTCATGAGGTACCTGAGTACACTCCCAGGCTTACAAGCGAATACTTGAATATTCGAACGCCATGTTTTTGTTTGTTTTGGGTTTTTTTTGCCACCATCATACCACGGAAGCAGTATCCCAGGTCCGTCTCCGAAAACTCATGCAATTTTAGTTCGAGTTGCAGTTGAAAGCGCCGATTTAATAATAATAATAACAGTAAACAATGCTGTTTTAAAAATCAAAGATGGCAGAATAATCCATTTTCCTCCAAGTCCAAACAGAAATCCGGACATTTGGTCCCAGTTTCTGAGTGGTGAGTTTGACAGTGATTGAGTTGGGAAACATTTTTACGACAGTACCATGCCAGCGGCAGGCGCTCTCCCTGGCACGGGTAAGCGTCGGCCTGGACAGTGCCAGGTGAACAGGATTTTTTTTTTTTTTTGGCGGCCGAATATTCGAGTACGAGAAATCGTACTCGAGTAGTTGTCAACAGTGCGGGTACTCGAGCATTTGACTACTCGTCGCAGCCCTAGTCAGGTCTTATGTAATGCATTGCTCACTCCAACAACCACTCCATAAAAGGAAATATCACCACCATACATTTCCCTTATCCCTGTGACACAAAGGCAAGCTTGAAATAAATTTCTGGTGGGTCATTGGTTTGCTGCCTGTGGGAGACCTGGAAACTTAATGTAAGTCTTTCATATTGTGCTACACGGAAGGTTGATGAAGCTATGGTTGTTTGACTTACCTTTCACTATCTATGGAGACTAAAGGTTGTTCACTTGGTTCTCTATCTAAGGCTGAAGCTTTCCATGGTACTGCCAATCTTTCTCTTGTCACTAGTATTGACCGCCTCGGCTGAGATTCCACTGGTGATGGTGAGTTGAGCGGTCTGTGATGAGGGTTCCTTACTGCCTCTCTCTGTTTTTCTGTAAAATTAATAATAATATTCACATTTGTTTAGTGATCAATAATACACTTGAAAGTGCTTTCCATTGTAATTATTATTAAACCAGTCATTGGATTCAATTGCTAATCCGCACATGATAGTGTACACACTCTGCTCCACGGGGAGTATTCCGGACAGGCTCCATTTTACAAGCTGGCATATATGCCGATCCCACCACATTATCCAAGAACAGTAAAGAAAGTAAATAATATTTGATTGAGCTCGCTTAGCTGACGTGGAGCTATACCTCAAAAGGAGCTTAAGCTTAAGCTCTTGCAGAAGGTCCCGTCAATATACATGTACGTGACCCATCACAATATCAACATCCATCAAAGGTTGTAATATATAATATTGCTGAACACAATGCTCCAGCTAATATGTAACCAAACAAACAGCATTTATTACATTTTATTTCTAATCATACTATTGCCAATATAGTTTTGAACATACAAAAGCTCATTTGGTGTGTTCACATCTTCAGAAGATGAAGCAAGAAAGTAGCCTCAGGCTGCATTACCGCATTATCAACAAGTACATATAGACCGGGCACAATGGAGATAAATGTACATGTACATGTATCTGTATTTGAATACACCCAAGCTTTTCATACTGAATGTAACGTAATACACACTGATCTAAAAGAGAATTTGTAATTCAGTGTTTTCATATCTTCTCAAGATGTACTTCATAATTCACTCCAAATCCAACACTGCAATCTGCCCGAGTTACATAAAACAAAAGTTTATTTTCCAACTCTTACTTTTATTGATCATCAATACATTATTGAAGAACATAAACAATTTCAAACAACCTACAAAGATCAGCTCATTTTCCTGTTAGGCTAAAGAGTTTGGACACTTCTCATACATCATCAATTTCTTGTCTACAAAGAGCAATTTATATCACTTGTTTATGTGTTCATCGACTTATATGACATATTTACAACATGAACACTAAAATTGTGGTCTATATTTGGCAGTCAGAACCCAAAATAATCCCTAAATGTATACATATCAATTTATATGGAAATGTATACATACCAATTTATATTCATATCTTACACAAGAGGCTTTAATACATTTTTACAATTTACAAATTCTAAAGTGAAACACAGAGTCATCAAAGTTTACCAACACAATTTCAAATAATCTGCATTTCCTCCCACATGCGTAATCCTCAACCTTAACAAATAAAACCAAAGAGTGAACTCTAGAATAGGAGAGATAGGGTGTGGGAGATGGAACTGTGTTGACGCGCGAGACCTTTGAATTGATCAATCTTACGTCATTGGTTGGTAAGATATGCCCTGTGGTAAGTAAGTCTAAACCTCTCACAATTAACACTCTCCTACTCTCCTTCACTTGCCTTTACCAGGCTCAAGGCTAGTGTTGGATGTAGTGGATAAAGAGGATTTTTGGAGAGCAGGTTTCTCCATTTCTATCCTCTTTCATCATGAGCTGTATATTTTAATTGATGCCTAGGTATGCTTACAAGATTTCTTGTGATGGATGGATAGAGGAAGACGCATGGGGTCGATGCATATTCGGGTGTATGGCACTTGCTCCTGGGACAACATCTCTGTATTAATTTCTTACACTAACCATAATCCTGGACCCAACACGACAACTAACCCTAACCCTAACCCTGACCTAAAACCCAATTGCAACCCCAACCAAAACCCTACATCCACAAAATTAAGCCCGGAGCAATTGTCGCAGTAGCAAATATCAGGCGACCGCATATATTCAGAAGTACCAAATGTTATTTCACTATAAATCAAATTACTTCCTCAATGGAAGTAAATCATGCTTATTGAACAATTCGTCCTTGTTTTCACGAAGTGACGGTAGCGAGGAAAATCGTAACGCAAAGCGAATGCAATTTTTTTTCACTACCGTCACTTCGTGAAAACAGCGACGAATTACAATGTTTTAAGATGAAACACAATTACTTTGTAGACAATATCTTTATGTTATGAACTAAGAGGCTTTCCTGGAGGGATTTCTTAAGGCAGAATTTCATAAGTCCCAGTTGAAGAGATTGGCGGGAATTTCTGCATACCGTAAATTGATTCAAGAGAGATCAGGAAAAAGGAAACAGAGAGGATATGAACGAAGCAACATCTTCTTCTTCCTGGCAGTCCATCAGGTCATCTCTTATTCTTATTGCAATCATTGATAGAAATTTATAAATCCTCTCATTTCTTACTTCATTGATTATTTCAATTTTAAAGTTAGAGAGAGAGAGAGATAGAAAGCTTGATTCATTCAATTCATTTTTGTAATGGTTTCTTAGACAACATGTTTCACTGTAATATGCTAAATTGCACAGTATTATTATGATAAAATAACATTAAAAATGTAAATTACGTAGGAATATATAATACTACTGATGATACTATTGTTTACCCAGAGGAGCCTCATCAGCATCAATGCTGTATTTCCTGAGGGTACTGCAATTATTATTACCCCAGTGATTGCCATGTACCCATGTACACCCGGGTGGAGAATGGCAAATGTGGATTAATGTCTTGCCAAAGGACATTAGTGCCGGGCCAAAATTCAAAGCCCAACCCTTGGACCCATAACACCTCTATATGTAAATATAATGGTAAAAATGTTGACTAATCATAATTATTGCTGGATAAAGATTTAAATAAACTCTACAAGTTTCACTTGATGAACAACACATTGAGTAGTAAGCATGACGCCCTCGTTGACTAAAATATATTAGCGTTAATGAAGTATAAGTTTTCTTGCAAAAGATCCATCATTTAGAATCAGGTAAGGAGCAGGTGAACTATGCATATTTGAATACCATGATCAATATAGTTTTCCATGTCGTAAAAACCCAGTAGGTTGAAATTGAGCGCATTTAAGAACTCTCTAAGGCTTATCCTGTGACAGATTCAAGGATTTGGTTAGTGATATGATCCATTGCTACGTCTTAAAGCCCCACTGTACTACTTGTAGCTACTTGCTCCCTCTATATAGAAAACAATGCCTAATCGATGCCTGTTGGTCCCCCATGATCCTCTTTTTTTAATGTTAATTGAGAGCTGAGTTGATGAGATAGCCACCTGTCAGTGACCTTGCTGGGTGGTCTAATCCCTCCTGTCCACACTAGTAGAGAGGGCCTTTAATGTGCATTAAAGACAAAGCTGAATTCAGCTAACGTGATTACATTGTGGAAGAAATTGTCTGGAAACTATTGATTATGTAGTTCATAAGAATTGATTTATACCTTTAAGGTTTTTAATGATCAAAATGAATTCAAACTCCTCTTTAATGTGCATTAAAGAGTACCAATCACTAAAAAATGTTTTTGCTCTTGATTTAAGGGGTTCCATGTGGCTATACTGCATTAAAAATTTAAGCTTCAAATATTACTTTTACAAACACATATCGTAATTTAAATACATTCTCAGTGAACAGTAAAACAAAACAAAAAAGGTAATAAATACTTAATGATAATTAATAATCATAATAACAACAACAATAACTATTATTATTAATAATAATTTCATTAATAATTAATGATAATGATGGTGTCTCGTTTACCCATGGTAGCCTCATCAGAATTAATACCGTTCTCCCTGAGGGCCCTGTAATCATATGAAGTACATGCATCAAAGGTCCTATGCATATACCGGTATATCTATGGACCGTATCTATAATGTATTACAAGATACAGAAAAAAAAGCACTCTGCGCTTATTTTGCCCTAGCAATTTACTGCATCATCCATGTATGAGAACGAGGCTGAAGGGGTTGTCTACTCTCCTCCTACAACCTGTACACATGTAGGTGTATCCAAAATCCAAATACATGTATCAGGAGGGATAGGAAATCTATATGTACATGTATTTCTCACTCCTTACACCGTCCCCAACACCATGCATTATCTTTAAGATACAGTATATGACATAATTATGCCTGTTCTCTTAATTCACTACTGATATACATTGTAAATGCACCTACAACAGAAACATGAGAGGCAATTAAAAATGAGGAAAAATGGCAGGTGTTTTGATTTGCTGTTACCTTGTAAGAGCCATCACTGTCACTGTTCATACAATGAGCAACAGGCTAATTCAGTGCTTTAAATACAGGGATGCATCATATTGAACAAAATTATTCTGAAATATCATTAAATCACACTTATTTGTATATTTTCTTACTTTCTCTATTATGATTATGATTGCAATTGGGTGTCTACATCAAACGGTCTATGCAGATGTATGTACTAAATCTTCTTTCCAACTGGTCTAGAATAACTTTAGCAATGACTTGGTTGTCTGAGGTAACAATAAATTTTATATAAATTTGATCTTATTGAGGAATTAATTGATTACAGTTCAAACACATCTATTGAAGTAAAATATACTACTACTATTACAGCTTTAGTATGGCTGCCATTACGGCACTCTATCATTTTAAGGAACTGATTCCTTCCAGGTCCCTGTTTACTTCACCTGGGTAAAGTGTGTGGCAAATGTAGATTAACCTCTTGCCAAAGGACATTCATGCTGCAGTAAGGACTTGAGCCCTACACCTTGTGATCCTCATGCAGTCCAGGGACTTATCCACTAGACCATATTAAGTGCAATATATTTATGGAAAAATGATAATCTACATGTAAGATATGCAGTTATGCTTAACATGACATAGTGTAATCAATTCAAACATTCTTTTTTTCATTAACTCTAGTATTTCCTACAGAACAGTGTTCTCTGATCTTCACCCACATTGAATATGAACTGATCACAGTACCGAAAAACACAAAGCAACATTACATGTATATAGATGCTCATCCATTCAATGAATATCTCAGTTTATGTCAAAATAGACATGTGGGAATGCATGGCCTTGGGTGGATATGAGCGTTGGATTAAACCTTGATTACTTGGCAACGGAAATGAAGGGGTGATCTCAATAAAAACCTTATCAAAATTGACTTGAAATATTTTCCAGCGGCCACT